GGTACTTATACCGCAAATATATATTCTTAAGGACATCAAAACCTAAAATAAAACTCCAGAAAGGTGTAAAATATGGGACCTTTAAAATACTCCCTCATTTTTGGACATACAGATAAGAGTAATACATCTTTCAAATCTGCAAAGACTCTACGTTTATTTGTGTGCACTCACAATAACAACAAAACATTCTTTAAAATAATGAAAGCAAACAGGATGCCTTTCTGCCGTCTCGGTCTGTGAACTTGAGCGCGAAACTCTGTGTATATCTTTGCCTTACAGACATTAAAAATGAGTGAAATGTCTACTTTCAAATGAATCAACTCAAATGGAAAACAAATATTCTCAGATTATGTAATCTGTGTAAAACATGCATACAGACGCATCCACTACTGCGGCGATAACGAATCAGTGTCAGTGTCGCTGACTTCATCTCTTAAACCGAGAACAAAGAAAGCACTAGTTTATCAGTGAATTATTAAAATGTTAATGCAGCCTCCTTACTGTTTCTCCCGACACATTCATAATCATAGCTTCTGCGCAAGTGTGGCAAGCTTTATGAGTGTGCTTGAGTGCTTATTAGGCTTTGTAGGCAATTAAAGGCTCATTATAATGATTTAAATGATTATTATTAATAAATGTGTGATTAGTCGACCAATGCTTAAAATTAATGACTACTAGTCGACCAGAAAAATCCTTAGTCGAGGGCAGCCCTAATTTTGTTCGTGGTAAACTCTATCTAAAAATAGTTCAAACCAAAAGTATTGTTTAGTGTAAAACATGTTGAAGATTAGCCTCTTCATTGACATCCATTCAAACAAAACGGCCTCTGGTCCTTCTCTTCATTGACATCCATTAAAAAAAAAGGCCTCTGGTCTCCTTTCCCACATACTGCCAGACCGGAAGCGTTAGCTTTAGCCGTTACGCTTTTTCGGCTAATGGCCGCAGGCTTGCCTTCTAGTGGCTTTGGCATCGGCGCTCACTATGCTCCCTTACCGGAAATAACGTCACATTTCTGAAGCGTGAAGCATAAACCACAAGAGTCAACTCGATAAATATAATGACATGCGATAGAAGATTTGAAAAGACAAACCGTCGCTACACAGGTAATGAACACATCTAATTAACATTTATAATTAATATTCGGCTGAAATGTTGTAAGAACATGTAACAGAACGATGTGTTTAAAGAGAATAAAAAATAATATAAAAATTTGATTGGTCCTGCCTGTTGTTTATTAATTCCAGTGATGACGTTCTACTGTGTTGTCCGTTGACGCTGTACGTAATCATATCACTGGAATTCGAGTGTTCACTGTCCCAACGTGCAGCGAGTCAGGGAACTTACCAGTGACCGAATTTGTGCACAATTGGAACTACCTGTGCAATAAACGGTTTTACTGCATACCTGCCAGCCAATCAGAATCCAGTATTCAGACAGACCATGGAATAAGGGTAATTAATAGGACTGCACTTATCAGTAGCAGACTCCTGTGTGAAAGCTGCTTCTCCTCTCACAAGAGACACCTAAGAGGGGAATTCTCAAAAATTTTCAAAAATGAAATTCAGGCCCTGAATCACTATAAATAGTATCACTATATAGAGATATAAATGATCAAAA